ATATCCTCAGGTGAAGATTAAAATGATTTTTTTTAAAAAGCTCAGCTAGTATGGTTCAGTGGTTGAGCATTGTTCTATGAACTAGAAGGTTAAGGCTCAATTCCTAGTCAGGGCATTGCCTGGGTTGCAGGCTCCATCCCCCAGTAGGGGGCGTGCAGGAGGCAGCCGATCAATGATTCTCTCCCTCTCCCTTCCTTTCTGAAATAAAAATATATTTTAAAAAATATTTCGTTTCTTATTCTTTATACTATTTGGGACAGATTTTTCTTGACCTTGTTACAACGGGCACAAGCTGCTCACTGGAGGGGCTGCATAGCTTTGTTTCTGGGATTTCTTCTCACCGGACCCCTCAGTCAGTTCCTTTGATTATGGTATCTTATGATATACTCGCACTTTCTTTGCCTTCTAGTCTCCAGAGTTGCGGATATTAATCTGATGCCAGTTTGGTTTTGGTTTCTGATTTTACTTTCCAAAACTTTCAGGACCATCAGTAAAGAGGCCCAGAATAAGCCACGGTGACATAAAATGACTGAGCAGAAGAAATCTCAAGCACAGACCTCCCCCCGCCCCCCAAGGAATTCAATCAACTGTCATAAAGCCCCTTCCTGGGCGTAACCAGGGATGACTGACGATTATCATCGAAGATCCACATCTAAACAGACACGATCACAAAAACAAAAACAAAGGAACAAACAACGATTATCTCCCTCCCATCTATTCTCCTAAGGGCCTACTTATCTTTCCAAAAAATCATCTGTTTTCCTTACATAGCCTTTCTCCCCCTCCCCTTCCCTTAAGGTGGTATTTAAACCCCAAAGCCTAACCAACACTTACAGCAGTGATGGCGAACCTTTTGAGCTCGGCGTGTCAGCATTTTGAAAACCCGAACTTAACTCTGGTGCCGTATCACGTAGAGAAATTTTTTGATCTTTGCAACCATCGTAAAACAAAGTCATACTTTTGATATTTATTTTATATATTTAAATGCCATTTAACAAAGAAAAATCAACCAAAAAAGTGAGTTCATGTGTCATAGGTTTGCCAACACTGACTTAGAGTTATATTTTTCTGTGAACTCCCTTACATACATGATTGAATCTTTTGAAGTTAAATTTGCAGGTGTCCCCCCAAGTGTAGAGAAAATTTTCCTCCCTAATATCTCTTTACTCTTGGTATTTTTTATTTTTCTTATTCTTGGTATTCTTTTGTTTCATTCTTTCTACTTTTTAGTTCTTTTCTTTTTTAAAAATTTCTTATTCTTGGTATTCTTACATCTCATAAAGCATTTGATTTGGTATTCAGTGGGCATTTTAATCTGTAGGCCTTTGCCTTTTCCGCTCTGGGAAATTTCCTTTATCATTGGTTTAATAATTCCCTCTATTTTCTATTTCAAAAATTTTATTTGTCAGATTTCATACCTCCTAAGAATAAATCTTCTATTTTTTTTTTGCTCAGGTCTTAGAAGATTTTCTAGACTTCGTCTTCCAACCTTTCCATTAACTTTACTCTGTCAATCATTTAAAAAATTTTA